ACGGGACTGGACTGGACTGGCTGGTACCGACAGAGGTACCGGCCTGGACTGGCCTACCCCGAATATGACACAGGCCTGTGAGAACAGGCCAAGGGGCTGGTCTCACAGGCCAACCCGAGGTCCGCTACAGTCTTCCTCGTCCTTATCGGCCGGCTCTGCCCAATGGAAGATCCTTCGAGATGGCAGAAGTTGAGCGCGACATACACGTTCCACCACTCCGCCCACTTGCCGGCGTCAAGGATCGGTATGTCCAATTGCCTGATCCGAAAAGAGAGAGGGACGTATGTAGAGGACTTCCAGAAGGTAGGGAGATGAGAGGGAACCCCGAAGGTCGAGAGGAGGTGTCAGTTCATTGAGGAGGCGCGAAGGGAAGAAACGCCGGGATGTTGACCTTCGGTATAGTGAGAGAGAGTCTGAGCTGGTTGAGGTCGATGTCGTTGGTGGACTCGAACCGATCGCCTGCCCGAGCTAACAGCTGGACCCACGCATCCAAGAGGTCCCTTGCCCAGAGTCGCAGTTGTCGGAGGGCGCCTGGATGAACGGACGGATGCAACGTCGTAACGTCGCCGGTGAAGGTGACGATCACTGTGACGTGGCTGACGCCTGGTGGAGACAGTTGCAGAAAAGCCGACACTTCAGCCAACACCTGCGTTTGATCACTTATCCACACGAACCGAAATTCCGCCACCGCGTGGATGGCTGTCGTACTGAAGAAAGCCACAAAACGAAGCAGTTCAGGACTCTATGGAGGTCGCTATACCTGCCGGATCGACGAAATATGCCCTCCAGGTCTCATTAGATGTTCGCTAATGACCTTCTCGGTAGAAAAGCTCATGGCGATGGGGGAGAAGGTAGAGACGAAAGCTGAGAGGAAGGGGAATCATAGTAGTCGAGTTTGAGGTCGTCGCCTTCCTTTTGAGAATCGCAAGCCGCACCGTGTTCACTCCGCTAGGACCGAGCTCGACTACGTGAAATCGCCCGAAGAATCAACCCCCAGATTTTGAGGAAGATTTGTTCGATCTTTGAGGTCTTACCCCTGAGTTTCGCGCATTCCTTCGTATACTCCTGTTTCTTCAGTTCAAGTTTTTCGCACAGAGTTCCCAATTCACCATTGAAATCGTCCTTACTACGTTCCCAAGCACCTGCGAGGACGGCGAGGTCACTGAACCCGATCATTTCGAAAAAATGGGGGTAGTGACCAGAGTCCCATTTCTTTTATTGCGTTGATGACTCCAGGGTTGACACAAGCGAACAAGGTTTGCGTGAGTCTGGCGGGATGGGCACAGTGCTCGATCCATGGGTATTGGTGTACAATCTCGTTCCACCATCCCCCTGGGAAGGCTTCCTTAGGGGGTGGCATCACCTGCGGGAAGAGCATCGTAATACGAGAAGGTGCATGCAGAGAAGGGTCATGGGGGCGAGATGCAAAAAGCACTGATAGCAGGAACGAGAGGATAAGGGAAAGGAGAGAGCGTCGAAGGGAAGAAAGGACCAGGGAAGGGGAGGGGGGTGGAGTTATGGGACGAGGGGAGAAACAGGAAAACAGGGATAGGAGCAGAATAGGGTCAGATAGGCTCGCAACAGTCTTGCTGTATAGGATCTGGCAAAAAAATAGGACAGATACTGCAATCACCCCATCGCTCGTCC